ACCAAACATACATCATCCTCATAACAAGGTGTGAAGGGGCCTGGCGCTACACACATGAAGAATGCGCCAGGTCCAGATCATGCACAGACGAAGAGGAGGGGAACAGACGAAGAAAAGAGGGAGAGATGGGAATGTCGTCAACACCAAGTCTTTGTTACAAGTCCCAAATAATCCCTCGTCAAAATGTCTGAAGCCCAATGTCGAGTCTGGATCTGAATGTCACCAAGCCCGCTCTCTCATAGTCTGCTGATGCAGTGAAGTCAGGTAGCGAGAGGGTGAGAGGGAGATGGTGGACTGAGAAGAGGAAGAAGAATAACTCTCTCTCTCCCATGTGCCAGGTACTAAACTGTGAAGATGGCGCTGTGCTGCAGGTACCTCGAAGGCGAAGCTGGAAGCTATGGTGCTGCAGGTAAGTATCCCTGGCCTCCGCCCAATCTCTCTCTCTCTCTAGTACTAGTCTAGCTACTATGGCGCCCAACGCTGAAGACTATTGCTAACATTACTAGCGCCCAGCGCTGAAGACTACTGCTAGCGCTACAACTCCTGCAATGCTCCTCCAGAGTGCTGCTGCCGAATCCTGAAGACTACCTCCTGCTTCCTGAACTGCACATGAAGTGCCTGGGAAGTACCTAGGAACTACCTGCCGGCCTGCAGGGTGGGCCAGTCCTATATAATGCTGGCCCGTCCAGCAGGCTGCTTTTGCCCATGCCGAAACGTGCCAGACCCTGGCGTTGAAGCTCAACCAGGGGTTGTCTTGAAAACATGCCCGAAATGGCCTGTGCTAAAACCCTGGTTTGTTGCCTGAGTTTCAGGGCGGGTCGAACTGATGAGGGTCTGAAAATGACCCTCAGTTTCAGGCTGAAAAAACTAAGGGCCGGAAAGGCCCTGATTTAGCCTGAAACGACACAGGGCCTGTAGGCCCTTGTTTTCAGGCTTTCAGGCTGAAACGGCACGGGGCGGCCCTTGTTTTTGGGCTTTTGGCCTGAAAACGTCACGGGGTTGAAAGGGGGCCCGTGCAGCCTGTTGCAGGAGCAGCATGTAACAATCGGCAGTATCACTTATCAGTCGGGAGTGTAAGTTTGAAGCGCAATGCAAAAGATGCCTCTGGTCATTTGAGTCAACTACCCACATTTGGTGGGATTGCCCGGCTTCAAGGCGGATATGGGAGTGGTGGGCCAGAGTATGGCATGATTGGACTGGGGAGATCTTGACCTGGGACAGAAACTGGGTACTCCTGGGGGGGCTCCCAGAAAGTCTACAGCTTGGGAAGGGTTGGAGATATGTGGCGCAAGTAATTCGGGCGATAGCCTTCTGGATCATCTGGACTGAAAGAAACCAAGCTCAATTTGAAGGGAAAATCATGCCGGACCACGAAATAAAATCCACCTTCAAAACAATGATCACAAGGTCTATCCTGACAGACTGGAAAAGGAAAGTTCCCATGGGTCGGGGTCGTGGGAGGGGATTGCAGTGGTTTAAGGAGACATGGGCTCAGGCAGGGAAGTTAGAAACAGTAATGGGGGGTGACAGGTTACAGTTCTCCGATTGGCTGATTAGTTAGCTAAAGCAGGGAACTCGGTTCTTTTCCACAGTAGAAGGCAGAAGTGAAGGGGGTTCGAGAGTGTCTAGAACCTAGTGGAACCGCCTTTTGGTTCCTACCGCCGTGTAGGCGGTCTGAGGGCATTGAGAGGAGAAAGAGGTTGGTTAACAGTAGGAAGTGGAGGTTTTCTTCCCACGATTGTAGAGCCGGGTAGGGAGTGGTAGAGGGGACAGAACAGTTAGAGCTAGGAAATAGTTTCATAATAGAGCTAGTCAGCAGGACCTCTCCATCCTTGGAACTGTCTCGGAGGTTAAGGAGCAGAGGAGAGGATGGGAGGCACTGCTAGGCCTGGGTGGGGCGAGATCAATGCTAGGAGGGGGTAGGTGGAGCTGTCGGGTTAAAACTCTAGAAAATTTGTCAAAAAGTTTTGGATGGTTAATGGAGTGGGTTTTTCAGCCTGTTTTTTTTTAATGAGTTGTTGAGCAACGTGCTCACTGATCACTGACTGGGCTTTGCCCAGAGGTTGAGTCTCGCGTCATTCCGGGTTGTTTGTGAGGAGGATTCCCGGCCTCAATGGATGGTTTATAATGGAATTCTTGCCTTTTTGCCCCCCCAAAAAAAAAAAAAAAAAAAAAGTTGTGCCTGCTACGGGGTTCATAATAGTATAATGACAATAAAAAAAATGCATGAAAGGCCGTCCTGTCCGGATTCGACAGGAAGTTGAATTGGTTGGGCTTAAAAAACACTAGCCTTTAAAAATAAAAAGGAAAAGGAAAAAGGAAAAAAAACTAGGCTACCAGTCCGGCCG